TGCATCTACTGCGTCATTGTCTTTATACTATGGAAGAACAAATATGTTTTTCCTAGAATATCGACATTCCCAATCCTTTTTGAAGGAAACAATTCTTTCTTAATCAGAATGAAATCCTGTCTTTCCTTGAGGCTGAAACAAGTTGTCGATCAACAGAAAAAAAAACAAACAGATTTTAAAAGCAATGCACCCATATTGAATCAGTACTGTGCAGTGAAAACCGACTATTTCTTTTTTTATGTTTATCAAGTTTTATTGATTTGTTTTTTATGTTTGTTTTGAGTTCCTGTAAATAAGAGTGATTTAAAAAAAATAATTCTGGTATTTTCTAGTCTTTTTACTGATTAATGTACCAGAAAAAACAACCACTTTCTTTTGGTTTGTGTTAGGACTTTTGATCTGACTGCACTGATGATACTAAATATAGCCAATTAGATGAGCAAGAAGCTGCGTGAAACCCACTGGCAGGCAACATTTAACTTTCAAGAAAAAGCTGTTAGTGTGTGAGACTCATTTTTAGCCCGCATACCTGTACACACTGGAGAGCAAGTGTGTATTTGTAGCTGTGAGTGCTTTCCACTGTGCATATGTGAGACCAAGTGTGTGTGGGGGTTCAGTCTATTAATTCTTGGTGTGTCCAGGCCCCACAGCATTTCTACTACAATAGAGAGTCATCGGAGGCCCAGGGCCTGCCGGAGGAATGTCTGGCTGACGCCGTATCTTAAAGGAGCATTAATTCAATTAAGAGCCAGGTTATAGACAGCCAGGTGGAGGAGGGGGGGTGGCAGCTCAGTGCAAAAAAAGAAAAAGAGAGAGAGAAAGGGACAGAGAAAGACAGCTGATATTTAGGAGACGCTGACGATACCAAAGGCTGAAAAATACGGACTGAAATCAACTCACTTCTTCTGATAAACATTTCAACAAGGTTTAAGCAGTGGAACTGACACACTGATACACTCCCTGTTAAGGTTTCTCCTTCACCTTGTTAGTAGAGCACTTCCCTTGGTTACTTAACTTCTCCCTTAGCAGTAATCTACACCAAAAGACTGAAACATTACAGCTGTAGCGTCTACTGTTTAAAGACAGCATCCAGGGCTGGGCACCTCTGGCATTCTCCCGGTGGGCCAATGCAATTTTGGCCAATGGGCCAGTTTAGAGGACCAGCCGTACAAGCACCGATAGCAGCTCACTCGTTCATTTCCATTACTGAGAGTGGATTGCCCAACCAAATCTATTAGCAGCAAAGCAAGTGATGAAGGTGTTGAGAAAACTTTTTGTGGACAGCGTCGTCTGCAGACAGTTGTTCTTGAACTCTGGAACCACTGTGCTGCCTACAATAATAGACTATATAACATTTCTATAATGCAGAAATGTGTCTGAACTGTACATTTACCTGTGAGGATACATATGTATTTTCTCAATGTATGCTTTTGTTTTTTGCATTTGTGTGTGTGTGTGTGTGTGTGCCCGTGCCACCCCTGCCGACCCCCACTGTTTTCTCATATAGCCCTACAGTAATAGGTTGCAGTGCAGAAATCGAACCCATTTACGCGTCCCAACACCAAAAACAGACAAATGATCGCTAAAATGGAGTCGACTTCTCTTAAAATTGAGCCCCCTTTTCTCTCTCTCTCTCTTTCTCTCTCACTCTCTCTCTCCATACAAATGACTGCTATCAATATTTCCAATCTTCATTTCTCCAGAAGCTCACGGCCTCTTTCTGCCAAAAATCAATGGCTTCCCACTGAGAGCTGTGACAAGGATCAAAAGTGAGAGGCTCACTTTCTTCAGATAAACTCTCGTTTCTGTACAGTTTCATCATTTAAGCAGCCAGTTTGTGTTTTGCATTCACATCAACTTTACAAAAAATTGACCCAAATGGCGTTATTTTTTTGGGAAGAAAAACAAAAAAAAGTTGGGCCAATTGGAAAATTTTTAATAAAAAATGGCAAACCAAAAAAAAATAACAAGAAGGCCTTTTCAAAAAGCAAAACAAGCCTTAACCAAAACTCCTTTTTTTTCTTTTTTTTACAACAACACCCAAACAATACATCATTCATTCAAAAGAAGAAACACAAATGTACAGCATCCTGACGTCTGCTGATAAAAAATAAAAGTCATCTTTTTTACTTTGTGGCAAATGTGTTATAGATATTTGTTTATTTTGGGCTCCTATTGATAACTTGGAGGCTAAATTCCATCATGCAAACTATAAAAATGTTAATGCAAGATTTTGTGGCCCATAAACAGGAGTGGACACCTGATAGCTGACATCTAAAGTAAGCAAACAGAAATAGAGTTTTATGCTTTAGTAACTTCCATCCTCTGTGCTCGAAGAAGAGCCTCGCACACAGAGGGATGCTGGGAGTAAAAACTGTGTTTGCTTCTACGTTTTTCTGTTTTTCTAATGAGATAATCAAGTTATAATCACTGGTATGTTTTATCCAGTGATCCTTTAGTAGCACATTCCTTTAAAAATATGCTTAATAGTTATTTCTATTTATATTTAAACCCTGCCCAGGTTATTTTTTACATTCCTAGACTTGAAAAAAGGTTCCCTTGTGTAGTGGTCGTACACCACAATAGAGCTAGGAACGATGTATGTAAGTTAGATGCTATCAACATGCTTCCTTCTAATAGGTGTTGATAAAAAAAAGACTACTTACATTACAAATTCTGAAGCCAAAAATGATGATGATTGAAAGTAAGCCCTTACAGGACATTTCATAACTAGTTTTGGACACTTTAGAAACCACATTTATTTCTGTTTACTAGAAATATTAAAGCTATCTTACCACTCAGATCTACTTCATGAGGTATGACCAGGTGGGTCATTCTATCACGCTCTTATGTATTCCCTTTGTACACTCAACCCGAGGCGTGAAATGCACAGTTACATGCATACATGCAAAAATATGCTCACTTTACAAACTTTCCCAACTTTTTAGGCCTAAGCTCAAATGAATAAAGATTATGTGCTGCTGATTCTTTTGCGTAAAAGCTGTCACAACCAAAGAATCTGAAAGGTTACAAAAAGATTAAAGTTCTACATTCTTAATCACACGGAAGCAACTTTTTTGTTTCAGCAGGGCTGTTTGTCTAGTCGTGCTTTCATTTCTTTGTGTTACTGCAGTCAGCTATATGTTTTTATGCATTCATTTTTAATGCATGCCTCTGCCTGAGTCTCTTTATTTGCATATGTGTGTGTAATTTAACTGTGCAGCATTTGTGAGCATAATTCAAACGTATATGAATTAATGTACTTCTGTGTGCATGCAGTTCTATATCAGTGGGTACACTTACACGGTGATTGTGTGGATTTGCGTGTGTGTCTCTGGTTGTCAGTCACACGGCAGGGCTAGGCTAATCAGCGCAGCTAGCTGTTCGCTGTGTGATGTAGGCTGATTAATATCCTGTTAGTGTCCCGTGGCTTTTAAGGTTAACTGCTGTTTCCTCTATACATCCATCGCTTCAAAACAGCCCTGCTTTCATTTGGCCTCATTAAGACGATGTATTACTATACTTAGCAACAACACAAAGACACACACACACACACACACACACACACACACACACACACACACACACACACACACACACTTCTCAACACACACACAGTCACAATGTTTTCTGTTAATGCTCGGTGTTGATTTGCCAAAGCTTTGTCACATATTTGCAAAAGCTAATGAAGAAAAGTGACAGTGGACCTC